GTGGGGAATTTAAGTATTTATCATACATGACTGATGATATGATTAGAATTATTGCCCAATATCCAGAGGTTTTATTAATGGATTTCACATATAAAACCAATAAATATTTATATCCACTTTTGACTGTAATGGTTATTGATGGAGAGGGCAGGGGCATTCCTGTTCTTCATGGTTTTGTAAAAAATGAAGATAAGGAATCTATTTCTCTTTGTTTGCAGCTTCTTCTGAAGAATTCTGATGCCAGTCTTTTCAAGTGCTTTGTGGTTGACAAAGACATGGCTGAAATCTCTGCTATAAATGATCTGTTTCCAAATGTACCTGTTAATCTATGTCATTTTCACATTAACCAGGCTGTGCACAGGTTTCTTTCGAAACATGTAGGTCCTGAGCATGTTAAGCCAATTCTTGAAGGATTTATGTCTCAAGTTTATACCGAGTCGTGTGATGAATTTTTAAAGTTGATGCAAGACATGAAAGATACTCTTCCTGATGTAGCTTTGGAGTATTTTGAGTCGAACTAGTGGAGTAAGGCCCATTTATGGGCAGCATCATCCAATGCTGATGTTTTAAGACTCCATGCGACAACAACAAATCATTTGGAGTCTTATCATGCCAAAATAAAAAGAGTTTGACTCATTATCTTCCTTTTTCATCTGCTCTTCGTAACCTTATGTCTTTTAACAACTGCAAAATTACAGTATGTGATCCTTTAAGATTGCTTTCTGCAAACACAGCTCAGTATACGTCATCTGATAATGATTAAAGTGTAAATAAGATTGAAAGTGTTGCTACTTCCTTTGCTTCTATTGCTCAATCAGCTCAAATTGTCACAATCTGTTCCGTACTCTGTTGTCCCTGGAGAGGCAGAACTTTTTTCAGTAGCTTATAAGGAACGTATTTTTAGCTCAACATCAGTTCAATGTAATTGTTCATTTGCTAAAAAGATGGCATTACCTTGCAGACATATTTTTTCAGTTCGAAGACATTTACAGCTTCCAGAATTTTGTTCAGAGTTAATTCCATGCCGTTTTAGCATAGTGTTCCTAGAGTGGTTGCTTCTACTTCTAGTGGTTCAGTAACTTCTGAAATTGTATCTACTAGAAACAATAATTTTAAGACTCAAGAGGGTCGGTTTAATCATGCTAAAAGAATTTGTATGGGATTGGCAAATTTTTTGGCGATGCAAGGAGAACAAGATTTTGTAGAGAAAATATCCTTTCTTGAAACTACTATAAGTCTCTGGAAAAGTCCTGAAAATTTAGATGAAAATGAATCGGGGTCACAACTTGTGAGAACAAGATTTTGTAGAGAAAATATCCTTTCTTGAAACTACTATAAGTCTCTGGAAAAGTCCTGAAAATTTAGATGAAAATGAATCGGGGTCACAACTTGATGAAGGTGAACCACAAACAAGTTTCATTCAAAGTCAACTAATTGATTTTGTTGATATAAATGACATTCATTTTTCCCACGAGGAAACAGTTGCTGCAAATAATTTAGAAAAAATTGAAACTGAAAATAGTATTAATTCCTTTGGGAAGCTTAACTTTGACAGAGTTCGCCCAAAGGGGCGACCGAAGGTAAAGCAAAATTTTACCCTGAAAAGAAAAAGATAGCTGCCCCAACAATTTTCCACTACTTGTATAAAATAAATATGTGAATGTTTGTAAATAAATGGCTGTCGCTATTCAAACCCGGGTCCAATAGACCAATGCTATTCGGATGTCATTTGTGGTAATTTATTTTAGTTAATGTTCCTTTAGTTAAACTGAAGAATTAAGTTTACAAACATATAGTCCATTCAATTATCTTTCATTTGATACCAAATTTTGTCTTACAACCTAACAATAATTGTTTGGGATGTGTTCATGATGTATGCATCAATGTTGTTTCAGTGTCTTTTTCAGCTTTTATAGATATAGCATTTTCATTATATTTTTTTCTGACATCAATTGATGAATCAGGAGGAATAGTTTTGGAACTACATAATTGAAACTTTGCATGCTTATTTAAATTGAGATTCTTTACTTTATGATGGATTGTTTTTAAACAAATGTCTCATAGGAAAAGTTTTCAGAGAATGTTTGTATTTATGCATTTTATTTATTAGGTTCGTGTGTTAATTTTTTTTCCTATCTTTTCTGTCTTAGTTTTCTAATTGTTTTTTAAATCATGAAGGATATATGTACATGGTGTATGCATCCTATATCGTTCATGCAGCCTCTAATTTAAAAAAAACACAATTTTATTTTATTTTATTTTTTCATTTTTCTCAATTTTGCATTTTCCGGATTTTTAAGGAACGCCAAATGAATCGGGAGGAAGAGTATTCTAGCTACAGCCTTCAAACATTGCATTGATATTCTTTACGAAATTCAAGAGTTTTTTTTAAAATATATATATCCAACTAGAAAGTTTTATAACATTTTTACATTTGCTACCCCTGAAGAGTTCTCAAATATTTATGTGACCCCCACATCAGTATTTTATTTTCAATGTGGCATCACTTAGTTGCCTTGAAACCAAACTCCCTTCACAGATCACATATATTTGCTCCCACTCAATCATTACGTCTGTACTTAAATGAAGAAATGATACAGTACAAACAATAGTTAACTGTACAGGTACCAACAAGGAAAGTGAGAAAGTAAAAGGAGACAAATGGCAAAGGAATGATGTGACCTAATTGAATGAGTTTAATGGCTGTCTACTCCATACTGGCCCCTAATTTATTTTATGGATTACTTGAGTACACAACTCAAATAACTAACAACGCATGACTTCTAACGCAACGGAAGTTTAAGCGCTAACATGATTACTTGTTGCCGTTGATGGGTATGAGGCAATGGGTGGCCGCCCAAAACCCTAGCCAATGATTAAAAAGACGCGGCCCTGAGAAAGCCGCCCCTAGGCGACCGTTTCGTCCCCGCTACGTCCAGTCCGAACCACTCCCCGAACGGTGGGTTGAGGTAACGCAACGCCTCCCCCGGAGAGGAAGTAAAGCCGTTTTGACCCTGCACAGTCCAGTCCGAACCGCTCCCGGGTAGCGGGTTTGAGGCAACGCAACGCCTCCCCGGAGGGAAACAATTCGTTGGGAACCAATTGCTCGCACAACTCTTAGGAACGGTGGGAGAAAGTTAAGCTCGTGACTACTTCCGGAGTGGAAGCAAAGCCGTCCCGCACCAAGGAACGTTCAGCTCCCTGGGCAGTGGGGGTTGCAACGCCACCTCCGGAGAGGAAGCAAAGCTGTTCCAACCCTACGCCCCGACCGTAAGACTCAATGGGCAAGGGGGGCTGTGACGCAAAACTGTCCTCTCATGAGTGGAAGAAACCTGCCCTAAACCCCGTTACTCAAGGCCGAGTTGTATGGCCGGAGTCCCCAGGGACTACTCGGCTATGTTTCACGGCCAAAGGTCATAAGAGATAGAATCTCGACCTCCGAGTATTGATCTTTATTAGTACCAGTAGTTTTTAAAAAAAAAACATTTATCCCCGGGGTTGGGGACGCACTTGACTTTCTTGGGGGGGGGGGCGAAATTAGTATATGCCTGAAAGAAACCCTGCATGGACGACCAATGCCTTTTTAAAAAAAAAAAGTCATATGGCTGTAACAACTCCGAAATTTGTGGAGACATTTTGTTTTTAAAAAAAAAAGATTTTGCCCCGGGGGTGGGGACGCCCTTGACTTGCTTGGGGGGGGGGGCGAAATTAGTATATGCCTGAAAGAAACCCTGCATGGACGACCAATGCCTTTTTAAAAAAAAAAAGTCATATGGCTGTAACAACTCCGAAATTTGTGGAGACATTTAGTAGTATATACTTTTTAGTATATTTTTGGGAAAGATCGCTCTTTAAGAGGCCACCCATAAAGCAATAAAGCATACTACGTCAAGCTCCGGGTGGGGAAGGGGAGGGGCATCTAAGAAAGTGTGACAGTTTGTGACATGGTTTTGGGGGTGGGGGGTATCTAACGTATAAAACTGGAAATCGAAAATGATGTTAAACTTTCTGTTGTGATAGATCCAGGTGTATTTTGACAGAAGTTGTCACTTCGGTAAATTTATAGTTTAATAATATTAATTGTGTTTTAGATTAAATATAAATGAGAATTTAATTTTTTAAAAAAAAATTAATTCGAAAGTGTGACGTAGGCCTAATTTCGGAGGAGGGGTGGGGGTGTTGGTTGTCGGTGATGTAATTGTGACAGGGGGATGGAGGGGGTATTGTTTTCCTAAAATAGTGTGAGATATTTAAGTACATGTATTTATTTTATGAATGACCTTTAATTTTAACTATATATTTTGTTGCTAATTATTTTAAAAAAATTAAAACAATGCAAGTTTTGGCATCTTGAAAATTTTCTTTTATTCTCAGGTCTGTTTGACTTTATTCGAATCGGAGTGGTTTATATTCTCAGGTTTACTTAGAATGACTTAGAATGAGAAGTTTAAAGGGAAGTCAATTAATTTTGTAAAATTTTTTACGCATTTATATCCCCCCCCCTGTACTTGTAAACAATTTTCAAACTTTTAATCCCCCCCCCCCCCTTTTCCGCTGTAGGCCTACGTCACACTTTCGAAATAAAAAAATGTGTTAAAATTAACAACTAATTAATATTTAATCGAAAAAACACTTAATATTATTAATTGTACCGAAGTGACATCTTCTAACAGAATACATTGATGTAGTAAATATTTACAATAAATTGTATGCTGTACTGTCGCCGTGTACGGAGTTGAACGGTGAACGGAACCTTTAATTTGAGCGACGAAACTTACAAAATGGCGGCCCCCTTGAAAATCTTCGTAGATACCTAATTTGACAAAATTTTAAGTCGTCCTGTCTATGAAAAAATAACCCTGAAGTCAAAATTAATACGGTAAATCAGTGAAATACAATTTAAATGGCTTAAACTAGTTGAGGATGCCACGACGTCTTTTCGATGTTTATTAAAGTTGCTGTGAATGAGGGTTCAGATTAGGTTTAGACTTTAGACTTTACTTTAGACGTTACGTTAGTACTTAGTCGGCTTAGGCTTACATTTTCATTTACCATTTAGTCAGTCATTTTCATCTAGGGTTCAGGTTGGGTTTAGGGATACATTTAGGGTTCAGGTTAGGTTTAGGGATAAATTTTAGGGTTCAGGTTATGTTTAGAGATACATTTACTGGTAAATTATTAGGAAATGTCCCGCGATGGCCGCCATCTTGGTTGACACAACCAGTTAATGTTGTGACTAATGAGTCTAATGTATCCCTAACTTGATCCCTATGCCTAACCTGAACCCTAAATCGATCCCTACGCCTAACCCGAACCCTCTAAATCGATCCCCACGCCTAACCCGAACCCTCTAAATCGATCCCTATGCCTAACCTGAACCCTAAATCATCTAGGTACTTTGATTAGAAAATTAAAACTTTTTATAAAAATAAACCAATGGCATAGTTGAATAAAGCTAATTTTTAAAAGAATTATAACACCAAATCATGTTTTTAGCTGTTGTAGTTTTAAAAGTTATGAATTTTTAAAGTACGACTTAATTTGTCCTTTTTAACATCTCCATTTTCTGGTACCCAATTCCGCTGTTCGCGTCACGAGCTATATAACTTAGAGCTTTATGATAAGCGCTATATAAAAATGCCTAAATAAATAAATAAATAAATAAATAAACTCTTGTTTTAATGATAATTTTATTTTCAGAACTAAAGCTGTATTAAAAAAATAAGTTTAATAATGTTAACAATTATAGATAAATTGTAGCTTATCTAACTATGCACTATTTATATAATTAAATTTAATATAATGTATTAATATATGGCTTTTCTGTTTACGAAATCTTCAGCGTCCATTATACCGGTAAATGCTATATAGTCTATATAAGGCAAATGCACCCCCTAAAATGTTGTTTGGTATCTACTTATTTTGAACTTTCAACTAGGCACATGACTAATTAACTAAAGCTTTCCCTGACTCTTATTAATGAAACTTGAGGGAGCCGGTAGTACTACGGCATAGCATCATGCAAATGGCTGTGGTTTCCCATGACTTTTTGCACACTGTCAATTCTGATCGCTAATAATATGGACTCTACTGGGTTTTTAAAGCTCAAATTTAAAAATTCTAGTTAAAATGTCTTCAAAATGCATTCTGAAACACAAGTTAACAAATATTTTGATGTATATAGAGATAATAATGAATATTTCCTAAGCTAAGTATCGGCGTTTTCTGCCATTTAAAAGGGGGCGGGATCACTAATCCAAAATGGCCTGTGCGACCTTTGCATAATGAGGTCAACGTTGAGGAGAATTGTGAAAATATTTCATGAGCTATCTCAATGACATTTTGCACACGTGTACTTCAACAAATTATGCAGGCCTACTTTTAATATGAAAGACCTACTTTGAATATTTAGACCGAATTTTTCAATGCGAAGATGCCTTATATTGACATATGATTTTCCTCACTTAAAGTTGAGATAAAGAACAAATTAACTCAATGGGAATGTAGTTCAACATTTCTCCTAACGTTAATGGGCGGAGTCAAACCTTAATTATGGGCCAAAAAGACTCCTAATTTATTCAAATTACATGCACATGAAAAAATTAAAAACTCTGATCCTACTGCGCCGACACCCATTTCCGATACAAAATTACTAGGAGTGTCCCTTGCTTCGGCGAAGTATATACCTAAATCGATCCCTATAACCTGAACCCTAATTCACTGCAACTATAAAAACATGAAAATGACATCACGGGGTGAAAACTAAGAATCAGCCCATTTACTTAGATTTAGTGACAGAATTAACTGGTCTTGTCAACCAAGATGGTGGCCAATCATGGCATCCTCTCTCAAAATTTACCATTTAAAGTCCTCTAACTTCCGCTCAATACATTTGTCTGATTTGTTCAGTTCTGAACTGATGATCATATTGCAAAAATTATTGTGGTCACCACATTTCATTTTTTAGTTTAGTCTTGACTAAGTTTAAGTTAATTCTAATTCCGCCCTCTACAATTAAAGCAGACGTGTTTGATTTGTTGTACATTTGACACTTTCTTTTAGAAAAAAAATTTGATGGTTTGACTTTGAAAATTTAACGTAAATAATAGCTAACTTCACTCATTCATAACTTTTTTTGCGGAAAATATCAATTTAAAATAAAAAAAAAAAGTTTTAGATGAATGCTTAAATGACAAAATATCCAAAAGTTGTGAGGTTAGGACCAGTGCACTTGCAAGAAATCTTTATAAAGCTTTAGTCATGTGTGTCCCAAAATGACCTATTTTCGATAATGGATTTTTTTTGGTTGAAAATACTTGATTTACACTGGAAGTCCAGCATATTAACCTTCTGATAAATCATTTTAAAACATATATAGGCCTACATTGAGAATAAATATAGGTACTTCACTAAACGGCATGCGCCGATCGATTTTTCGGATGTCGGAAACAGACCATTATCCGATGACCGGTCAAAGCCGGTAGGTCATGGGGCCATAATGAAATAAAGTTTCTTTTGTCTACGTAAGGGAGAGACAATGAACTTGTTATAGTCTGTTTTGTGCACACGAGGAGGACGATCATAGCCATAGCAACATAAACCTTGTCACTGGAATTATAGCGCTTGTAGCAGATATCTTTCGTTGAGTAAACAGGTAAGTTTGCTAGCACTATATCTCGGGTAACCATAATAGTTTTCCAATTAATTCTTTTTCTTTTCAATGAAAGAACCACTTAAATAATTGAATCAACATCGTGAAATTTAGATAGGACTTAAATTGTCTAGACGTGGTATAATTTGAGCATATTTCGTTACCAGTTATCGATTAGGCCAAATGAACCGTAAGTGATAGTCTTTCTATGTTATTCTTCTTATTACATAAGAAAGTATTTAAAATCTTTATTGATCCATTGTTTTTAAAAGCCATTCAATTCATTAATATTACTTAATTTGTTTTAATTTTATGACTGAAAACAATTTTATACATATTTTTGAAATTTCATTATTATTCTTTTAAATAATAAAATTTACATTCATGATAACCATGTCAAATCTAAATCAACTTTAGTCATTTAAATCTTTGTTTTTATTGTTATAATTATCAAACTATCCAACTGTAAATTATATTTTTGGTAAAGGACATTGTCCTTAACTAATGATATTGATATAATTTATCTTTAATTCATTTTATATAATCAATGAATTGTAGGCTCGGCAGCTACTGAACTTCATTGTCAATTTTTACTAAGTTATATAATTTTATTTATATTTATCTTCTAAATAACCTGAATCCCCTTTTTAATTTTCCTTTTGTATACCCTTTCTTGCCTTATAAGCTTTACTGCTTTATTTCAAAGCTATTATATTAGACTTTTCAGGCTTAGTCCAGTCTTTAATTTTGATCATTGCAGAACTTTATTTGTAAACAGCTAAGCTGGTAGTTTGGTGTTAACATTTCTTAAATGTGTTATCATTTTCTTTCTTTTAAATATACAGTCATGTCACCACCACTTTTTAGAGGAGCTGTGAAGAGTTATACTTCTAGTACTACCAGTACCTACAATTCACACCTGTCCATTCCATTTGGATGAGCTGTAATGAGGACTCAAGTCAAGACTACCAGACTTTTTTAAATATAAGTAAATTTATATCCATGAATGAATAAGGTTTCCTAATGGATATGTATTATGTAATAAAAACTTGGCTTACTCTGAATAAAAATAATTTTAGAACATTACAATATAATATCTATACTGGATAGACAGGATAAATAAAATCACCATCCTCTTAATTAATAAATAATTTAATTACAAAACTATCACACGGAAATACACAATCTTTACTTAAATTTAATATATATAAAAATTAAATATAGAAGGTATCTTTTGTTACTTATGTTAAAATGCCTATTTTGGGCTTAATTAAAATGAATTTTTATCTCACATTTAATTACAAGGAGTTTGTGTAGTGATGAAGTGGAAGATAATGCCTCTCCTGCTTAGAGGTACTGACCTCCCAGCTATGCCAAGTGTTTATTCAGTAAATCTTTTCTATATAATTCTCTGGATACTTCTCTGGGATATGGCCTCTGCTGCCAAAATGTGCCTGCGTGAATAATTTCACTTTGTTGCACTGGTCTTTCCTGTTTTAAAAAAAAAACTATTAGGTGTGTCCACTGGACGATCCACCACAGTATGGACCACCTGAGCATAATCTTAACAGCTATTGAAATATTTCACTATCAAATGCATTTATTTGGAAATTTATACACTCCTATTTATCATCATGGTGGGTGGAATCAACAATATTGAAACAAAGTAATCTATTTTTGGAAAAATCGTTCATCGTTACCAATGGTATCTACACTCAGGACTCCATTTATCTATGTCATAAACTGAATCAATACCAATGGTATCTATAACTGTCACAAATTTGATCAAGATTGCCATGGACTCGGCCAACACATTACTTTTGACCATCATCTTTCTATGAAAGAAGATGTATCTCTTTTATTCAGCCCTTCATTGAACTATAAAAGTACTGGTACTAATATAATATTAAGTGATCATCATCTGTACTGTAGATTTCTAATACTAACGCATTGCTACTTGGATTATCAATTTCATGGATGATTGGATTTAACATTTGTGATTCGCATTTTTTCAATGCGACTTATCCATTATTATACATTATTTTATAAATCTTTGCTGTGGAATTATTCACAGTATTAATATAAGATCACGATATGATTGTATGCATTAACTCAATGGGTTGAATTGGAAATATTTATGCAATTTGTATTTTTAATGCACAAACAGGCTAAATTTTCAAATTAAATCTTTCACTCTCTGTTGCCACTGGTTTAATTCGTTTATTGATGTATTAATATTTAAATGGGTTATTATAAAAGCCCAATGCCTAATTAAACTATGCGGAAAATTTGAAGGCTTTAACTTTACAGGTAAAATAGTCAAGGCATTTTGAGTACCGGGTATTGAGAATGGGCGCTACATTTTTAATGAAATTTACTTACCCTCTGTTGTTCTAATCCGCGCATTAATACATTAGTCAAAATATTAATATGAAAATGGATTATTATAAAAGCTCAATACCTAATTAAACTATGCTGAAAATTTGAAGGCTTTTACTTTACAGGTAAAATAGTTCTGGCATTTTGAGTATTGAGAACGGGTGCGACATTTTTAATGAAATTTACTCACCCTCTGTTGTTCAAATCCCGCGCATTAATACATTAGTCAAAATATTAATATGAAAATGGATTATTATAAAAGCCCAATACCTAATTAAACTATGCTGATGAAGGCTTTTACTTTACAATTTAAAAAAATATGGCATTTTGAGTATTGAGAACAGGCGCTACATTTTTAATGAAATTTATGTACCCTCTGTTTGTCAAATCCCACTCATTAATATATTTTTGACTCTTAAAATTTGAAAGCTTTTTTTCTAATTAAGATAGAAAAATAAACTTGGTATCAATGGAAAGGAAATACTGAGTCTTTTCTAATGATATAAGTTTCATTAATATATACCGGTAAAAACTTTGAAATTTTTAGTGAAGTACCTAATAAATATCAACAATTAGCTTGATGTTCTCTGTATTTGAGCCTGATTTTAAAAAGACAACTAGGATCCATCAAACTGAAACAAGTTCAAGGATCATTTTGAGCTGCTTATAATTTAAAGAGCCACATCGGACCATTTGCATATCAGATGTATACCTCTTGTTTTAAAGTTAATGAATAATTATTTTACTTTCATTAAAATTTAATGTGGGATGCGGGGGATACTCATAAACTAAAAGTCTAACCAACGGGTATGGGAGAGAAACAAGTTTGGGAACCGCTGCTCTAGTAACTTAATTATCCCAAGATGTGTCAAACTACCCTTATTTTTTATATTATATATATTATTTTTTTTTTTCCAAAATCAACATAGATAGACATATGTATTTATAGATATATATATTTATAGATAACATGTATTAAAATGTCTAATTGTTTTATTTATGCAAAGCTAATCCCTTGTTACAAGTTTTTAGAAACATTTGCTTGTAAATATTTAGTGACAGATTTGAAACTAGAATTCGCAACCTGTAAATTGGTTAAAGAAATCAAACCTCATAGAGGGTTGAGGTTTTATCTATAAGGCTGTCATATACAACTTGTGGTTAACAAGCATATTTTTAGCTATTTATCCATTACTAGTGATAAGCCATGGAAAATGAAGCAATTAGTAGACTGCTCAGCTAACCTTAACATTGTTTTTTTATTCATTAATACACAATAAAAATTAAACAACTAAAATTCAACTCTTTTATAGTGTAATTCAGTTAATAATATATTTTTTTAAATTAATTTTTTCTAGGAAAACTTCATTCCACTTTTTCCTGGATAAGCAAAATCTAGGGAAATGAGAAACCCTAGTTTATTATAGAAGCAAATGGACCCACGACCTCCATACATTTGAAAAGGCTTTTTCATAGGGTGAATTTCGATTGCATTTAAACAAATAAAAACTAGACTTTTCAGTAACGTAAATTAAATTTAAAACATACTTTTTGTTTATTGTTTCGGCTGGCTCACCCACAGAAACCCTTTGCAACCCTATTTGAGTTCATTTTTCATGAGCTGCCTGAATCTATTAAATATTCTTCTTCTATATATTAAGGGCCCACAATCAATTTATTTATCATTTTGGCTCCTATGCATGTAGAGAAGATTTGCAATGTTTCTGTACCTGGTGTTAGTGAGGAATTTCACTGGTTGCAAGGGCTACTCAGTGAGGGTATCATGAACTGGGGGTTGGAAGGCCTGAGGCAATAGACGCAAATGTTTCAAGTGTTTTCGCCTTAACTGTTTCTTTTGAAAGTTTGCTCCAGTCCCTGATTGTCTTTGGCAGGAATGAGCAGTTCCTATACTGGCTTTTTGCTAGTATGACCCAGAACTGCCTGTCATGGGGAGAGGGATGAGTTTTTGTTTAATATTGGAGCAGTGGACCAGCCCATTATTTATTTTGTACATCATGGAGAGCCTAGTTGTCATCGTTACTTCAATGGTGACCAGCCCAGTGTTTCCAGCATGCTGCCAACACTAGAGGTATTCCTGTAGCGGTTCAGGACAAAGTGTGCTGCCCATCACTGGACCGCCTCCAACCTGTGGATGCTCTTCTGGGTAAATGGGTCCCAGACTGAAGAAGCGTAATCTAAAAGCAGCGGACAAAGACTTATACACTGGAGTTGCCGATCTTTAGATTTCGCCTTAAGAACCCTGGTGTCTTGTTTGCCTGTTTGCACACATTGTTAATATGCTCGTCCCAGCGCATCCCTTTTTGAATGGTAACACTGAGGTACCTTACGGAGGAAACTGGCTTAAGTATATGGCCATGCAGTTTGTAAGGGTGGTATAGAGGAGTACAACTTCTAGAGACCGACAGTGTCTGGCACGTGGCAGGATGAAATTCCATGTCCCAGCCAATCTCCCACTCAGCTAACCGATTGAGAACCTGTTGTAGCAGGTCCTGGTCAGATCTGTTGGGGATCATCCTATACACCCCTGTGTCATCTGCGCACAGTCTTACTAGGGATGTCAGTTTCTCGGGTAGGTAATTGATTTATGCTAGGAACAAACAGGGGCCTAGCACTGAGCCCTGTGGAACCCCTGACTGTACTCCTACAAAGGAGGAGCTTGTACCGTCCATGACAACTGCCTGGCATTGGTTGTCGAGGAAGCCAGAAATCCATGTTTTAGTCGTGCCTTGGATCCCATATCTCTGAAATTTGTGTAAAAGTAAACTATGATTGACACTGTCAAATGCCTTTGAGAAGTCCATCACCATCACGTCAGTTTGCATGCTGTTTTCCAGATTGGTCATCAAGTGTTCTACAATTCAAGGAGTTGGGTTTCACAGGATCTATTGAATCGTAAGCCATGCTGACAGTCATTGAGTAAATTTTGGGTCTTAAGATGCTTCATGACTTCGCTTATGATTATGTGCTCCAACAGTTTGCATACCACGCTGGTGAGGAATATCAGATGATAGTTGGCAGGGTCAGAATGCTCCCCTTTCTTGAAGATTGAAGTGACATGCGCTACTCTCCCGTTTGCTTGAACAATGCCTGTGCACCGCGACGAGGATTGTCAGTGCAGGAGCGATTTCTTTGGGTAATTCTTGGAGCACTCGTGGTTTGATGTTGTCAGGACCAAATGCTTTGTTGGGGTTAATGGTTTTGAGGAGGGCAAGCACACCCTGCTCTGAAATCTGGATATCTTCCATGACGGGTTAGGTTCTGTTCATCATGTTTATCTTCAGAAGGAACTCAGCCTCCAATTACTCTCTAGCATCATCAAATAATTTTTTGAATATAGAAATTGAGTCTTCAGTCTCACAATCCTCTGACATTTCTGTGAGCAGAGTGTAAACTTCATCAGATAAAAATTTTCGAATTTTTTAAAATTTACACATTTTCTATCATTAGCACAAAAGTAAATAGTTGTTAATTTTACAAAAAATATAAATGTCTCGGATAGCTGTGGGACATGTAAATGTTTATTATTTTTTAAAAGTGAATATGTTTGGAAAAAAAGGCAGTAGATGGAATATATGTAAAGATATTAATATTTATTTAACTATTTTTCTGCTATGTACACAAAACTCTGTGTTAATAAATGTCGTATCCGGAAATTTGATCGAATGAAATTTCGTCGACGGTAAATTGATTGACGGTAATTTGATAGAACGGAAATTTGGTCAAATCTTTTTTTCAGTTTTTACTTTAAAATTTTCCTTCAAATTTCTCTTTGAACGCATTATTTTGTTTTACTATATAGTATAGTGCGTTCAAAAAGAAATTTGACAAAAATTTTAAAGTGTGAACTGAAAAAAAAGATTCCACCAAATTGCTGTTCGATCAATTTACCGTCGACGAAATTTCTTTTGATCAAATTTCAGGTTACCAATAAATGTAGGCTACTGTCATTGTGTGCCTCAGTATAACTTTTTTATTTTTTTTTTAACATGTCTCGGTTAGTCCTTGTCATCTCATTAGATTAACAATGACAATGATTGGCTAAAAATCCTGGCCAATTAATTTTTAAAAAGTGACCACACTATTTATCAGACTGAATGGCTCATCAAAGTTACAGTTTCTTTTTAAGCAAATTAAGGATTATAATGACTTTAACCTGTGCATTTTGTTTATTTGCAGAATGATCAGAGAAGTTAAAATTAAATGAAACTGAGTCAATCCATATACTATAATAAGGCATGGGTTAAGGAAGATGAAAAATCACCAAAACATGTTCTGTTATAGAAATCCTAAATAATGCCAGCCCTGTTTCGTAGAAAATATAGAACTCTGGGCCTGCTGGGGGTGGTGGCTGTCTTGTTTTATCTGCTTCAGTGTTTCACTGTATCCAAGCTCGGCCACCTTTCAAGTCAGAATTCCCAGCTCTGGGTTGGTGATCATGTGCTGAAAAATATAGCGGACAGAGGAGGAGGGTTTGTTTTAAGCGATGACTCCTACCATCACGAGGGTGAAGACAACTATTTAGACTTCCACAAAGGCCGCAACAGTGTGGTTGACGCAGACTCCAGGTTTCACATGGATAAAAATGTGGATAAACCATTCAAAGCGCAAAAAAACTCATCAAAATCTAATCCAGCACACCTCAAAAAGAACTCTTTAACTGTCAGTATGGAAAGTTTGAAGCAGAACACCAAGAAGATCATGGAAGATGTTAAGCTGGTACCCGAGGGTGCTAAGGGTAAAACAGTTGATGATTTGAGTAGAGCAAACCCTAAAGCCGGAGAAGACATTGTTAGAAGGCATGGGAATGTTCAAGTTAATTTGTTGGGAGTGCATTCATCAGAAAAGCATCTATTCAAGACTGATGAGGACAACATGATTGGCTGTTTGACTATGAGAGAGGTAAATGAGGTGTTACATGATTGGGTGTTTGAATATGAGAGAGGTAAATGAGATGTTACATGATTGGGTGTTTGACTATGAGAGAGGTAAATGAGATGTTACATGATTGGGTGTTTGACTATGAGAGAGGTAAGTGAGATGTTACATGAATGGGTATTTGAATATGAGAGAGGTAAATGAGATGTTGCGTGATTGGCTGTTTGACTACTAGAGAGGTAAATGAGATGCTAACGTGATTGTATTATTTAAAAGCTTGTATGCTAAAAATTTAAAACAACTGAAAAAACATCTAGCATTATATAAAGTTATTTGTTAAGTTTTAATTAGGTAGAAATTCTGTCTGTATTATTAACTATCAATTTGCACTTAAAACATCTTATTTCACTCTAAAAATAATTTCTGCCATCTCGTTGATCTTTTTGACAGATCCATGTATCCATTGATCAAGTGAATGATGACTTCTGTGATTGCCCTGATTCAAGTGATGAACCTGGCACATCAGCTTGCCCTTATGGCAAGTGAGTTCAAGTAAATCTTGTGCCTGATTGGTTGCATGTGTCCTGGCAAAGTTATTTATAGCAACATATAGAATATCTTCTTACGCCTCACCACCCCAGTACATCCCCTTACCACCCCAGTATAATGCCCTCACCACTCCATTTTATCTCTTCACCACCCCAGTATAACCCTGTTGCAAAACCAGTATATTCTTTCATCACCCTAGTACATCCTGTCAAATCATGCATTAGATAACAGTACTTAAACTAATATGATGTTTCACAGATTCTACTGCACAAAGCAACTCCTGGATTCACCACCCCAGTACATCCCATCAAGTCAGGTTAATGATGGCATCTGTGATTGCTGTGATGGCAGTGATGAGTGGGATGGGACATTAGTGCCAAATTACATGAGAATTATGTGCAAGTACTCATGTCTGAAATTGAGTTTTCAGTCTCACAAGCTATTTGTGAAGCAACTTTAAAATAAAACTTTTTTTTTTCATTTCTTGTACTAGTAACCATGCCTGAAAAAAAGATGTGAAACTTTATCTAACTACAGACCTGTTTACTCTTACGATTTTGGCGTACAATGTATGATTTTTAAGGTGTGTACATGTTTATACTGTAGGTTTATTATATTACAATAAGATAATGTTTTAAACGATTTTGTGATGATATTGTACGATTTGAAGAGTTTGAGGGTAAACAGGTCTGTTATGGTAACTATATTTCTAAGCAGTTAAATCAAGTAGTCCTCAAAATTAAAGTTCCCCCTCAAGTACAAGTACAAGCATTGTAACAATCAGAGGTCATAGTTTGTTGGAAGTGGTCTAAAGCAGTGGTTCCCAAACTTTTAAGTTTGGCAGACCGGTGAACACGTTTCGAAATTTTACCAGGGACCGGTGCATGATTTATTTTTATACTTTTATTTCTATTTAACAATAAATATTTATGTTATGGGGACCGGCAGGTTAGGCATGTGGACTGGTGAAGGTCCACGGACCGCCATTTGGGGACCACTGGTCTAAATGGACAACATTCACTTTTATGATGTGAAAAAAAAAAGCTGAAAAAATTTACTTAACATATTCACACAAAAATAAACTAAAAAGGGTTATTTATTTATTTTACATAAACACCGAAAAAAGTTTGCCTATAGATGGGTGGGAGTTTCTTTAAACATTTGTACAAAAAATCATGGCAATCATCTTGACAATGGTGTAATTTTGCTTGAAAGAAATGAAATTTTAAACCTGGAGCTACGTGTTGTAAGGAGAATCAGCTGTTCTGTTCCAGCAGATTTCTGCTATCCACACAGCTGGCAGACCCTAAAGAATGTCAAATAGCTAACACAATTTAGTAGAAACTTTGTTTTCAGGATCTGCTGAAATTTCATTGAGTTCAATGGCTTATATTTAGAGATACAAATAGAGGGTGGAGACTATGAAATAAATATTTTAATTTAATCTAGATTTTCTATGGATGCACCTAGGCATAAGCAGGGCAAAGCACATTTTTTTCTGGGTAAGACGTTACATTAAAAGTGAAAGGGAAAATATTTAGAGAGAGAAATAATGTGTAAATATTTAATATTTTGATTATTTTCCAATGTCTCTTATCTTCATAGCTGGTTCCCCACTGGGTGCCGTCTATCATGCTCCATGTTCTGATAAATGTGGAGAAATTCTTGCCATACGTCAGAATGAGGCTGTTGTTAGGACCAGAGGTCGGGAAGCCCAGAAAAAGTATTTGGAGCAGGCCACATCAGAACTGACAGAAAAGGAGAGAGTGGTGAGGTTAAAATTAATAAATATTAAAAAAATTAGACATATTTTTCTTTAATCTATTTAATTTGCTTTTATTGAACAGAATACACAAGAATCGTTTTCCATTAACACTTTTTATGAAAATACTTCTTTGTTGTAAAATCAAACAAAATTGCACAATATAGCTTTCTTCAGGAATTTTGCTATGGAAAACTGGCTTTTCTTATAGGAGAGCATGTTTATCTTTGTAGATTTACATGTATGTCTATTCCTTAAATTATGTTATATTAACTTTATTGATTATGTTTGTCTCTTGATCTGGGATCCCACTTGGAATTGATATCCCATCGGGATACCATCTGGGCAACGCTGGATATATTGGATAAATATATGTATATATATATATATATAGATATACACATTAGAATCAGGTTATGTTGACGGCCTAGGGGTTTGCCAAAAAGCGTCGAGATAAACGATGATCGAGATAAACGAAAACCAAAATGGTGGCAATATATTAACATGTGTTTGAAATCTCTTAATGTAAATGATGTGCGTTAATAAATGTAGGTACTTCAGTAAAAGAATATCTTTAAAAATATTAGTTATTTAGAGCAAATTTCAAATTTTAAAAAATTAAACCGGAATAAATTTTTTAGCTTATTCGGCTGACATTCTCGTTCTGTACTGTGGCGGCCGAAAAAAAAATCAGCCCATAAAAAACACGGTCCGATAGCAACTTCCAATCCAATATTTAACCGGAATTACAACCACTTCCTTTTATTAATAATTAAATCATCTTCCAGTTCAAAGTTTCGTGATAACTTGAAAATAAATTATACTTTTTAATCAGACTAATCAGAGTTTTATCTCGCTGTTTTTTTTAAAGCTAAAATGGTTGAAGCCATGGCTGGGCCTTCAGTGCAAGAACTAATAGAAATATGTTTGAAAGCTTTTTAGGTGAAGTTTTAAGTGATACTGATACTGGTGATGATTTTAACTTTCCCCATGACGATAACAGTTGAGTTTATTCTTCTCATGAATTTTATACTAGTCTTAGTGATGCTAAAGTAGGCCTACTGAGGCTACTGTTAGACTTTGAGCCCGGCCCGGAGGTTGGGCAAGGAGTGACTGAATTTTAGTCACAGAAGCTACAGATTATAGTTCAGAACTAGTAAATTCTATAGTTAAACAAACCAAATCAGTTACAAAGTTCCTTTTTAAATGTTTACTAGTCAATAATAACTATTTTGCCTGAGATTTTGTATTTTGTACTTGGTTTTAGCAGTGGTCCCAGTTTCTTATATAAATGACCTAAAATTACTAAAATTTCTTTCATAGGTTTTATTGTAATCAAAACCTCAGCAAACTATACATTTTCTTAAAGATAAATGAATTGGCTACAATATTTAGATTTGTGTATTAAGGGTATCTATAAAAATTAATGATGTTATGAGCACTTGAAAGCAAGACATTTTGTCGATTTTGTTTTTTCTTAAGAACTTCAAGGTCAAGGACACTGAGCAAAAAATTTTTCTACGGGGTGTGCAATATTGCCAAAGTTATCCCCATCCATTTACCTTTCTAAAAATATAACTTATAGAGGTCTTGTATCAATATTTTCTATGTCATTTAATGCAATTTCAAATGGCACTCAAAACGCTCTAAAAAGCTCCACACCACAGAATGATAATGCCACAGTTCGTGGGTTGAAATACGAGTTCGATTGGTATTTTCTACTATGGATGAAGCCTCAAAATTTTGAGACCTCATTCTGCTGATCGCATCATGCACAATGACTATATAGTTTATGTAAGTATAAGGCAATGCATCCCCTCATTAATAAGATACAATTTAGGAACTATTTATTTTGAACTTTCAACTTTGGCTCACGACTATTTAATTAAAGCTTTCCCGACCAGTGGTTTAACAGTTTAAGCACACAGCAAACTCTTATGAATGAATCTCTGAAGTAGTATCACGGCAAAGCCATTATGCAAGTGACTGATAATGGCTGCCCATGACAACGTTTTGCACTCTGCAAATTATGATCAATTATAATATGGACGCTACAGGGTTTTTAAACCTCAAATTAAAACATATTTATTTAAATTACTTCTAGGTTCATTCTAAAACACAAGTCCTGTATTTTGAGAAATAAATAATTATTTTTAATTATGAAAAGCTTGTTTATTTGTTATTTGTTATTTCTTCTTGCGAAGTTCAAAAGCCTGCGCTTGGTTATGGAGATTGAGATACGAGGTTAAGAGGCAAATTTGGCCCCCTTTTGTGCTCGAAACATTAGGGTTCAGTGACATAAAAGAATCAACATAACCGTTGATAAAATGAGAATTTGGCAGTTCCACGTAAAAAAAGTCGACTTAACAGGGTTGGCGAGTTAACCGAGGTGTAGATAAGTGGCTTCAACTGTATAGTTACTTTGAAAATAATCTGTGGAACTGATTCAAACTGGGAATTATTTTGACCAGAATTTATATACTAAAGGGCCTCTTAGTCTTAACAAAACCTCGCAACAGAGAACATGGTCGGATACATATAAGTTACCAGACAGATTCTGGTAAATTATAAGTCTGAAAAATCATATTAATACTATTTTACTCTAATTCAGCGGTTCTCAACCTGTGGGTCGCCTTTCACAGGGGTCGCCTGAGACCATCTGAAAATACATATACTCTACAGTTATGAAGTATCAACGAAAATAATTTTGTGGTTGGGGGTCGCCACAACATAAGGAACTGTATTAAAGGGTCGCGGCATTAGAAAGGTTGAGAACCGCTGCTCTAATTGACCTATAAACTACACTTGTAAGCATGGGGATACCATATCACTTTTTAGTATGGGATTTAATATCACTTATCAAAATGGGGATATCTTATTCTTATCATGAATTACACAGAAACCATATTTTGATGTGTTTTTCAAATAATCTTTTTCACCAATTTTTACAGCCAAATAATCTAACCATTTTAATGCCAAAATATTTGTAAAATTTAAATTAAATTAAATATGAAAAGTATTGCTTTAAATTTTAAAAAAATTTCGAAGGTATCGATTTGGAATTGCAAAGCAGCTAATGCATTTGTTAGTGAAAAAGTTATTATTGATTAGTTTTCTCCTACAGAAATATGGCCCCAATGGGATCTTCTATGCCCTTAGCAAACAGTGCTATAAGGTCAAGGCTGACTCATATGAATACGAGGTTTGTCCATTTGATAAGGTCAGTCAGCAGTCTTTCCCGCATGCTCCTGTCATTCTAGGACGTGCATCATCAGTTGTTCTGGACAAGGGAGAGCACCTATTGATAATGGACCAGGGAGATAACTCCTTATGTCCTTTTGGCAGGGGCAGAAAATCAAAGGTGAGGAATACTTTTTTTTTAAAATTGACAAAGAATAACTTATTTTTTATTTTTGAGTGTGAAAATTCATTCTCCAGGACTAGTTAGGAATATTTAGGAGATTGAATTTTTGAATAAAAAATAATAAAATTAAAACATTTGTCCGAAACCAGTAGAAAGACCTGAAATGAAGGAATATTTCTTATTTGACATATGACAACATCTGATATTTCCTGTATGTTTTTCTATATATAGTTTTAAATAATTTAGCCCTGAATTCTGAGCAGTCATATTTTATATTTTCCTTATTTTGATTTTATGATTTAGAAACTCTTTGTTCATGGTAATTTAGTTGGTCAAATTGCTGCCTTGCACCTTATCTCCTGGGCCCTGATCTTTTTGTTAACTCCTTCTAACCCTGCATGAAACATCTTATCATGTCAAGGATTAATTTGCTTAAGATGTTAATACTCATACATGATTCTTGCAGTACATTCTCTTTCATAAAATAGGCAACCAACAATATTTTTTTAAAAACTACTTTTCTCTATAAAGGCAGACACATATTTTTATTTCAGATTTACCTGTTGTGTGGTCTAGAAGACAAATTGTTGAGAGTGTCAGAATCTGAGCTTTGTGAATACACATTTGCCATGAGCTCCCCAGCCGCTTGTTGATTGGTCATCAAGATATCAAAAGTTTTCACTCTTTGGGATACCACAGAAGTCCCCAACTATTGGCTGATTTAAGCTCCTTTGGAAATTAAGGATTATAGTATAAAACTCTTCATCATGATTATGATGAGAAATAATGCATTGGTGAATGCACTACCGTTTATTTCACTGTAGGATTTAACAAAATTCTAACATGTCAATTTTTATGCAAAACCCAATACATTGTTTTTATGAACCCACAGGGGAAATTGCAATATAAATCCTAGTTTATGAGCAATGGGTGTGCATTTTAAATTGTTGAAAGTAATGATGTGAAAGAAAACTTGTTCTGATTCTCACTCTAAATTTGCTGCCCAAAACAGATTCTTACATTCCACATGCATATATTTTTTTATTGAAGTCTTTGCCTATTTCTCTGTGTTTTACTGGCTTAAATTCTAGAACATGAAAAAAAAAATAATAATTCATCGGGAAACAATAAGGATCCACAAAAGACATATATTAATAATGGGTTAATTTTGTTAACAATTGAAATTAAAATTAAAGCTGACTTGCAGTAAAAAAAACATAACACGTCATGTGGAGTATTATTTAATCACATTTATGGAAATGGAATAGGACATTTTTTTTTCTTTATTTTAAAAAAACCTAAGAGTAATACAAGCCATTTGATATTAGTTTATCAGATGCAAACTAACTTCCATAGTTTATTATCTTGTTTCCATTGAAGATGAATTTGATATCGGTGAAATCGAAATCTCACAGCATTCAAACAAAATAAATACTTAATTTCGCAAAGCCATCAAATTTGTCGGTCCTAATGAGCCCCTGGCGAGTAAAGCAGTTATTAAATTTTTAAATGCCAATTCCATATAACTGTCAAATAACTTATGTGCTTGTTAAAATTGCAACGTAACTGAAATGTCTTTGTATAATGTCTGCTGAGGCTGTGAATATTAGTGTAATATCTACTGACACTGCCAAATGGTCATTAAAACAAAAGCATATGTCATGTAATAAAGTTTATATTCCTGTATGTATTTTTATTATTAGTTGTGTTCCTTAATTTTTGCCAGAAATGTTCTGACAGCACACACTTGACAATTGTTTCATTCTGTTTAATGAGCACACATGTTACATCTTATGATTCCTTCTTTTTCATGAAACATATTGCATAAAAATATTTATTTTAAAATGGTATTCCAGAAATGTCAAACTTAGCATCCTCTTTTTTTTTTTAATAATATTGTTCCAGTTTTAGAGGTTTTAGATTTTTAGATACTGGTACCAGTACATGAATTTATTCCATAATGATGGGAGGGTGGATGAAACAGGTGATAATCATATAAGATATGAAGTATGATTATAATTGATTCAATTATATTTAACCTATCTTACACTAACTTATAGCATTTTTTATCTTTATACATTAAAATGTAGAGCTAAATGTTTTATATAAAGTTCTGATGAGGTGCATTCTGATAAGGTGCAGGGGAAGATCTTCTTAGAGAGCTTATTCTGCTGTAAGTGCCTTCAAGCAATAATTTTAAAAGTAAAAAAAGTCTTCGAAGTAATGATTGTGAAAAGAAGAAAAGGGAATAGTTATGAAGTTCAATTAGAGTGCCTTCACCCAATACTTGCAATATTATATCTACCCGAATTAATATTAATGTTTGATGTATTTTATCATTTATGTTAGAATTTCGTCATGGTTTTTCAGTCTTAAAATATAATATATTATGATACCGTACAAACACGTTACCCCTTCAATTAAAATTGTAAGGTACATATCATATAATAAATTGCAAAAAGTGTCATTGGTTGTGAGAACAATTATTTATTTCCATCAAAACGTGGTCATCTTGGGTTGACCCCCAGCTACTCCAGCCCTGTATACGACTAATAAGAGGTACACATTTATGTCATAATATATCTATTTAATTTTAGAAATGTCAATGTTAGCATGGTCTTTCATTATCCCATCTCACTTGCCGCACACGTTTTGGATCATGCATTGTAATAATTTGTAATGGAAATAAGTTTATAAAATACATTGATCTGCACTGATGAATGGCTTGTGTATTGTGTTACATGCTTTAAAGACATATGAGATACGTCTAAGCTATTAAGTCATTTCAAAGTATAATTACATAACTTTTATGGTAAATTTATTGAGACCTTCAAGTCTCCCTCAAAATTTACTGAAATGATTGAATATTTTACTTTAGAAATGAGGTTACAAACGGCCCATCATTAAACTTTCAGTGGAATGATGGGCTGTAACATCGTTAATACGCCGCGATCAATTCATTGATCATTCTGGAAACCATGCATGTAGAGATTTGCAATGTTTCTGTGCCGGGTGTTGATGATATTTCACTGGCTGCAAGGGCTGCTCAGGGAATGTATCATGTACTTGGGTAATAGACGCAAATGTTTTCAAGTGTTTTCGCCTCAACTTCCTTTTGGAAGCTTGTTCCAAACTCTGATTGCCTTTGGCAGGAATGAGCAGTATGAACCGGAACTGCCTATGATGGTCTCGTCCCTTTATGGGGGAGGGGAAAGAGTTTCTGTTTAATGCTTGAGCAGTGGACCAGGCCATTATTTATCTTGTACATCAGGGAAAACCTGGATAGCCGTCGTCGTTCCTCCAGTGATGACCAGTCCAGTGAGTCTTAGAACGCTGCCAACACTAGAGCAGTTCAGGGCAAAGCGTGCTGCCCTTCGCTAGACCGTCTCCAACCTGTCGATGCTTTTCTGGGTAATGTGTCACAGACTAAAGATGCCTAATCTAAAAGCGGCCGGTATATGCTCTTTCTTTTACACTGGAGTTGCCGATCTTTAGATTTCGCCTTAAGAAACCTAGTGCCTTGTTTGCCTGGTTGCACACATTGTTAACATGCATCTCTTTGAATGGGTAACACCCAGGTGCCTTACGGAGGCAACTGGCTCAAATATGTGGCCATGCAGTCTGTAAGGGTGGAGTAGAGGAGTACAACTTCCGCTAGAGACAGAATGTGGTAGGGGTTAATAGTTTTGAGGAGGGCAAGCACATCCTTCTTTTAAATCTGGATATCTTCCAAGACGGGTAGGTTCTGTTCATCATGTTGGTCTTCAGAAGTAACTCAGCCGAGTTCTCAGCCGCCACCACATAATTTTTTGAATAAGTAATCCTATGACATTTCTGTGATCAGATTAAAATTTTATAATTTTTTTCTTTTAAACATATTCTATCAGCATAAAAGTAGTCAGTTGCATATTTTGCAAAAAGATAAACGTTTATAAAATACATTAATATTATATTAATGTGTGATGTATTTTATCATTTATGTTAGAATTTCGTTATGGGACACAGCCTCCGTCACCAAAGACTGAATGGAGCTGCTGATTTGGGTCAGATGTCAAACGGCTATCCCACCTCGGAGGGGAAACTACAGTGTGAACTTTTGGTGCTTACGTAGCTCCAGAAGCGCTTGTTCTTGACAGCCTTGATTGTAGTGACCATCTGAGCATAGCCGTTTAGGTAGTTTCAGTAAGATCTGCGCAGTATAGTAAGCGTTGGATTTTTCGACGGAGCCTCATTACCTCGTCTCTTAGTTCAACCGAGCCATTTTATTCAATCGCTTGTACTGGTGGCGTTTCTTTGTAATGGATCAGCCACGGCAGCCATAGGTGTGGGTGTACTATGTAACGTCCCTCAAAGAAATCTGAGAGCTAGATTTTGTATACATAGCCATTTACCTTGCAAAGGCCTGTACGCGAATGCTTGAAGTTGTAGCCAGGCTTTTGGACGTGGCTGAAGCGCCGAGTTCCAGTACATGGCTATGCAGCTATAGTTTTTGGTCCATCTTTCTTACAAGTGGGTGACTTCCCATTTGAGTGACTTCCCGCAGATGTGATATCTTCTTTGAGACTTTTCTTCCGTTGGTATTGAATAAACAGTTTTCTCCGCATTCACCACCAATTTCTAATTGCGAACAATTTCTAAGTGAGATCTGCCTGCAGCCGGCCGGCTCTGCACTCGATGGATGGATTTTTCCAGAGCTTCAGAACGCTATATCATCTACAAACATTGTGATCTTTATTATCAAGGACTGTGGACGTCCGTCCTCGTGCACACATGTCTGAAACGTTGTTTCCGAAAAGTGTGGATATCGTTTAGTTTGATAGAGAAGAGAATGTTGGCTGTTACTCCGAACAATTGAAACTTTAAGAGAAGACCCTCCCATCAGACATTGTCGTAAGCGGACTGATGATGATTTATAATAAATTTTATTACCTGGTCCATGGCTCCCTCTCCTTCCGGAAGCCACCTTGGTTGGCTGGAATGCACTTACGTGGTTCCACGAAGCTAGTCGTGCGGTGACCAGGGCCTTCAGAACTTTATTCCTGTATGGTCTGAAGGTTTATCTACGTATTATCTTGCCAACGCGTGAATCTTACATTTAAAGAGCTCGTACTCGTCAATTAAGTCTTCCGCTGTGAAGATTTGAGTCAAACTTGTTTCTTTCTAATTTGAATTCCGAAACTGTTTTTTTCGAAGGTGGCCTCGGTGGTAGTTCGGTTTATGGTCACTTTCAACATCCAAGACCACCTGACTGTTCTTGGACTCAGCGTACTGTGGCCCGTGTGTAAAAAAAGTGGGTCACACTATTTTGGTCTTGCAACGAGAAGAGGTTCGTAGTTAAACACAGATCTCCAGACGCGTAACAATCAACATAGCTCCTATCTTGTGATTGAGCGTGATTGATATAATTTTACGTTGAAAATTTAAGCTTTCACCTAAAGGAAGAGTTACCGGATGTGCTATAAACGGTAGTGATTTTAAAGAACTGACTTGGCACTCATCGGTAGGCGGTTTTTAATTACAGGGAGTAGCCCGTAATGAAGCATCTCTTAGAAAAACGTCCGCGTCTCACTCGCAGAGAAACTTTGTTGACTCCCATCCCTTTATTTTGATTCCACAAAAATTGAGAGGTATGTTGGGGGTGTCCTCATATGGCAAAAGGTGATTTTGGATTTTCATCCCGAGGGGATTGCCAGGCCGTCCCGGCAGTGAACAACGCAGTGACTGACTTGCCAGCACCACTATTGATACTTTTCTTATTTGCCATAAGTGCTGTCTGAGAAGAACGCTTCCCCTACCTTAAGGACTAAGCTAGTGACCCCATTTCCTTGTTAATGAGTTAAATGTTTAGATCTAGCAGTTGTTTGTGGGTTTACCTCAAAAAGTAATTCAGAATGTGAGAAATACTACAGCAATCACATCGACCACAAAATCCTTTATATGACGTATAGCTGAAAAGAAAACTCTGCACCTATATATATTTAAAACTGATTCCTAAAAATATATCCATACAGAACCAGAGCTCTTTCAAACAGTCCTTACTGAGAGTTCCCAGTGTTTGTGGACACAGAAAGTAGTCACTCTTTTGAAAATAATAAAAAGTCATTTAAGACATCTTTTTTTATCTTCTTTAGGAGACTTAGAGACTATGCTAAAAAGTATTGATCAAACGCTATAAAAATCATCAGACATCATCATCCCAGATGTACCTGAGTGCTTTGTGAGTGCTTGTTTAAAGTAAGGGGCGTCACCTACAATATATACTGGCAGGAGAATGCCATAGATAAACCTAGGAATCAAGATGTTGGATTTGATTTGAAAAAAAACATACAAGTGACTTGCAATCGAGTCTAGATTATTCAGATTGGAGAAAATGCGACTGCTAAAGTTGTCAGCTGCACACAAGATCAACATATTCAGCGCGTGTTCTCCATTTCCAGACGCTGAAACATTCTTAAACTTTAACGCAAGAGTAGGAGCTGCACATTTCAAACACTGTCGTAATTTCAATAATTACCGAGAAATTCATCCTGGAAAGACGTTTGCCAGTGTTTTTCTTAACCGGTGTGGCTTCAGATATTACACCGATTAAAAGTGACATGAATAGCATTGGTCTCTTCAAATTGCTTTCATAAAGCTGCCAAGGAATTCCACCTTGTAGTCGGAGAAATTTGTTCAGTATTTGCATAGAATTAGGTTACTCCAAATGAGACCGTACAATCATTATAAATCACAAAACCACTGGAAATGTTTCATATCAAATGGTTACTTAGTGGTTGTTTATTGTATATTTTTGAAAGATATGAACCAACAAAGGATGAAGAACCAACCACGATCCCACTCTAGAAGCAGAATTAAAAAGGGTAGGCTACGCTAGACTTTCACTTGGAATACCAAATGATAGAAAGTTTATTAGGGTACATAACGAAAACCCCTGACGCATTCCCAGGTTTAATCATACTGAACGTGCGCAGAGCTTCTGTCTAAATTTTCAATTAATGTACCGAGATTTTCTAAATATCACAGACCAGTAACTCATAAAATCGTACAAAATCTCCTTAGTCATACAAAACATGAATAACAATTACTCTCATCGCAATGCCTAAAAATATATTATTATTTATAGTAGAAGACTTGGTTGACACGCGGCTACGAGTACAACAAGCTAGCTTCCAACAAAACAGATTTATAATAGAACAGTTCATCAACCAGTCAGTATCTAGCTTTTTAATAAGAAATGACATGGTGTGCAAGAGCGAAGACAACATGAGTAGGCATTAAAGCATAAAAAATAAACACAAAAACATATCAGACTTCAAATTATTCGGATCCCAACTTCGGTGCCGGGTAGAACTATACGATGAATGTAGTCACTGAGGCCACTTTGATTAATTTCCTATCTTTTAAATGGAACCAGATGAATAGCCTAGTATAAATGAGCTCGAAAAAGCTATAATTACTTGCTGATGGGAAAGACACCATGGTGGTATATTTGGCATTCCCATCAGCAGTGGACTTCTCGATGCTCCTTCCGATTTGCCTTCATGGACTGTCAAAATGGAATGTATTATGTAACAGAGCTACGGTCTACAAAAAAGCAAATTCAGGAAGTAGCAACGTCTTATCCAATCATATCCGATCCCATTACAAGCAAATAATGTGTTTTTATGGAAAATACACCACCATGCAACCAAAATTCATCGGTGGGCTTCCCCTG